AAAAAAAAATTAATTAAAATGGCAGGGAATCAACAAATATAAATTATTCAGTCAAAACTCATGTGCAGTCAATATAAATAACCATTGTTTTGGCTAAGACTCTGCCCATGCATACATTCCCAGATTACAGCTTAGTCGTAAGTATAAGAGCTACAATGAGCCCATACAACCCAAGTACTTCAGCAAAAATAAGGATAAGGATCATTCCAACAAACAGCCTTGGCTGTTGTGCAGTTCCTCGCACACCAGCATCCCCAACGATTCCAATGGCGAAACCTGCAGCCAAACCACTGAGGCCTACAGAGAGCCCAGCTCCAAAATGAAGAAATCCACTGCAAGAAAAAACATTGTTAGATAGCATGTCTTATAAGAAGAAAATAGACTAGTAGATTTTTTTTTAAAGAACACTTTGAAGAGGGAAAAAAATTTCTTAATTATACTAAAAAGTTACATTAAATTACATTCATATTACAATATTCTAAAATTGCCAGATACTCTTATTTTTAATAAAAAGAGGACAAGCTAACTTACATATAAATAAATTACAAACTTTTTTCTTAATTGTGCTAAAAGTCTAAACAAAGCTACAAAGATTCTGGATTTGACCTTAAATCTCTGTTAAGAAGTATCATCCAAAAGTTAGAAGGGAAAAAAAGTTTTTTTTTTTTGATAAAATATTCTTTTACATATATACCAATTTGTAGACTGGAACTAAAGAGGAAGGCTGTACAAAATAAAAAGTGCCATACAACTATATACTTTGATAACTATGACATTACACATAATACATATGGAGCAGTAAATTGAACCTAAAAACCTTAAACTAATAATTTCAGAACTTTGGTAAGATATTACTAGATAAAAAAACTTTATTCCCTTCAAAAATATGCAAATTTGAAATAACAGTCAACAAGTCTCAAACACTCAAAAATTTAGGCTTAAAGTACACTATAAATATGTCCATTATCAACAATACAAGAAATCATCAATTGTAGCACATAGTTGAAGTCTTTGGCATAAACTTAATTTCAACAATAAAAAAAATCAATTTTCAACTCTGTCACATCAATTCATTTTGATGCCCTGGAATCTTGTTTATTCATATAAATGCTGATTCCTTTGTTGGCAACATCAGTTTCTCACCACCTTCTTCATAGCATATGGAAATAGCTTTTACTTTGATTCGCTCCTCTCGACATACAGGTTTTTTTTTTATTATTTTTTCATCTTTTTCTCTTGAAGCCACTGCGGTTTTTGTAACCGTGTCTCTCCCCATTATTTTTCAATTTTTTATAGCAATTTAACGTCTTACATTTAAAATTACATTTGTTTCTTCGCATTCAAGCCTTGAAAATGGAAATCTATTCATTTACGCTGTAAACACATCTGTTATTTCCAATTTGTATATTTTTGAAGCAAATGAGGTTTTTAATCCAGTAATTTCAAAACTTATTTAATAATGATAAAGATCAGCTGGGAAAAAAATTATTACAAATTTTTGCACCTAAGAACAAGACAGTTTGTTGGTCTGGGGACTAGACCTGAAAATAACCACTCGCCGTATATAGAGTCAAAAAAAAAAAAAAAAAAANAAAAAAAAAAAAAAAAGTGAATTAAATAAGCAACCAGCCACTTTTTCCTATCTCTCCCTCTCTTTTCAGAATTTTCATTAAAATGTTCAATGTTTCCATTCAAAATTTTTATCCTACAGGATCCATCAATTTGCTATGGAAAGATTTATGTGGAGGAGAGTTCTTTAACAATTAACATATTTCAAAGTTGTAATGTATACATTAAATGCATTTCACCTCCCCAAAAATTTTTAATTAAGTTCTTTAAAATGTTAAACTAAAATTTCTCACATATTTGCATTTTGTAAATTTTTATATAACTTTTTATAACCGTAGATTACTTTAAATATGAATTTTTTTAAATATAATTTTACCGAGCTAAACAATTTCTAAAAGTGAATATGAAATAAAAATTTGTGATGGAAAGGTTCATGCAGAAGTAGATTTCTTTAACAATTTACATTCTAAAATTGTGATGTATGTATTAAATATATTTTGCCACCCCAAATATTTTGAAATAAACCTCTTTGAAGTCAGCATGTTTAGCTAAATATTGTCATATATTTATATTATTTTATTTTTGAATTAGCATTTTAAAACCAAAGGTTATTTCTATTATGAAATTTTCTTTAAGTATATTTCATCCTAATTTTGAACATGTTATTGTGAATTGTTTTGTAATGTAACTTTACATTTAAATTCACTTTAAAATCTATTAGATAAGTAAACAACCAAAGAAAATGTGTAGACCTAGGAGAGCTCCCAACAAGTTTCAATCAAAGGATAGGAGAAAAGAGAAGCATTTGTAGATAAAAAGAGGACTTCGGAAGACCACTTTAAATTTTAACAATTTATATTTAGGTACAATAATTTAGTGTTAAAAACACTAAATATAAAAATCAGTTAAACTTCATTAGGATCCTTCTAACAAAATAGAAATTTAATAATAAGCTTCCTAACTTAGTAACAGCTCTCTTGGGTGGCATCTGAAATTTTATAAAAATTAAAAGATTTATTGAATGATGATTAAATGAATTTAATATCTGTGCAAGTTCTAAAAACTTGTTTAATACTACACAGATTTAAGATTTGCTAGAGATATGTAACAATTATTTTAAAAAATTTTATTCAAGTAGTATCCACAATTATATGTTTACAATTCCTATCTGTTATTGATGTCATCACATCTTTAAAATATTTGCCTCTACAAAGTACCCACTATAAAGAGCTTACTTCACACTCATTTTCGTGAAATCAATATTATTGATTAAACCAAACTGATGAAGATGTTAATTAAGCAGATAGTAAACACCCAAATAAAATAATTAGTTGAGTAAATTAACATATTGTCTTAAATTCTTTCTAATAATTGAATTGCTAATCGGATAAAATAACAATCATAAAGAATAAAAAATGTAAAAAATACAATGCAGGAAGAAAAAAAAAATCCAAATTATTAGAAAATGTCCCTTTAATTTGAAGATATCATTCAACATTAGTAATATCAATATCTCTTTAACCAAATGAAAAAAAAAGATTTTAAAAAATTAAAATATATCGACAAAATAACTGTCAAAAGTAAATTAACGTGGCCTCCCAATTCACCACTTAGAATACTTAAAGTAGTTGAATTGTGACTTTCAATTGTTTTTGTAAAATTAGTAGACAATCTAAGGAGGCAAGCTTTGTGATTTTAAAACTACAAATAAATCTTAGAAACATGCAACATAAAAAAAGAAGAAAGAAAAAAGCTACATTTTGTGTGATAACATAAAACTTTAAAATATATATTATAAATTACAAATTTAAAAGGTAAAAAAATATATAAATTAAATTATAAATATTTTTCAGGCATGAAATTAGCTCTTAATCTTATTAAAGAGTATTTTTAATTTCAAATGAAGTGATAACATGATTAAAGAAATAATTTTAACTTAACAGTAAGAAGAAATTAATTTAAATTTTTGGAACAACTAATTTTAATACATGACATTTTTTTCACCTGTATAAAATTTCATAGTAAAAAAATTTTATTTATTAGATTTTATTACATGTCTAATTCAAGAGTCCTCAAAATATAAAAACAACAAATAGGATGAAATTTATTTCTTAAGGATGACTTCCCTCCCCCTCCCAAGTTCAACCTAGAAAATATTTAAAATTTTAGAATTGTTGATTAAATCAAGATTGAAATCAGGCATAAAATTTAAAACCATGAAGAATGATTCGAATACCCAGAATCAGGCCCGTAGCCAGGGGGGGACCGTCGGGACAAATCCCCCCCCCCCGAAATTCTGGGATTCAAACTTTTTAGTCTTTCTTTGAGCCTCTCAGTAAAAAGAAAAACAAAAACTGTCGAATCAAACCTTTTATTTAACTAACTTTATTAAGCATATTTCAAAATATTCCGGTTTGTCCTAAAAAAGTAATCGAAAATTTTCTTCAAATCCCTGTCGCACGTCCTTGTAAACTTTGTTTATTAATTGATTATAATTATTATGTAATATTAATTGAAAAATAATTATGTAATATTTTTTAATTACTAGTTTAACTTTTGCNGACTTCCCTCCCCCTCCCAAGTTCAACCTAGAAAATATTTAAAATTTTAGAATTGTTGATTAAATCAAGATTGAAATCAGGCATAAAAAAAGGCAGAACTATGTGGATTTGTAGAAAGCAACAAGTTAGGCCATAACTCCATTAAATCAAATGAATAAAATGGACATAAAAATTTTATAGTGATGAAGCTCTGCTGTTGAGTTTTCTAAACTCAGATGGAAAATCTTAAATCAGTAAATGATAATCAGGTACAAGGATTAGCTAGAAAATTCACGCACCCCCTTGATTTAAAACCATGAAGGATGATTCGAATACCCAGAATACGATCGCCCTCGAAGAGTATTTTAATTATTTTCTGTTCAGGCATGGGAGATATAATTTTTATATTTATTTTTGAATAAGTTTGTAGGGTCAGATGGGATAAATTTTATAAATAGGGTAAAGTGGGTATACGTTAAAAAAACATCTATTTTCTCTTTTTAAATTGAGATAACTTGTATTGAGATAATTTGAATTTTTAAAAACATTTACTGGGATTGCCGCAAGTATTTTTTTTTATCTCAGTTATAAAAACTGATAAAAATTTTAACGCTAACTGTTTACGATCCATTTTTAATATTTATGATCAATGGTTTAAATTGAGAACTTTAATATAATTAAAAACTGGCAAAAACTTAATTTTAGTTAAGCCTGTTAGAGGGACGCCTTAAGATCCTGTCTCAATTTTTATGCATAGAATATTTAAAATTTAGTTCATGTAAGCAAAAAAATTTGCTTAAAGAAAAAAAAATCTTAGTTTAAATATTGTAAAATTTAAATTATATTAATGGCAAAGTACATTTTAGTAAGTGTATGATATTCTCATTTGAAAGAAAAATTTGTTTTAACAAAACAACTGCTCAACATTTACTAAAATTATTATCAACTTGTCCCTTTATAGAACAATATAGGAAAGAAAAAAAAAAAATTAACACTCTGAGCTACTTCAATGCCACAGGAAATTATTTCAGTACAATATCAGGGGTGATTGTGAGCCAACTCGAAAATCCTGAAAATTTCTTGAATTAAATCATTAATATCAGGTAATGAAACATTTCAAAAAATTAATATCTTCATAAATTAAGTCATTGATATTTTAAAAACATGGAATTCTACAAAAATTACATGTAGCATAATTTAAATGAATAATTATGTATAAGTTTACTTTTACCTCTAATCACATTTATTATTCTAACAGAAAAAATATTTTCAAATGAAAAATATGGCAAGCATAAATTCTAGTTTTCAAAAAATCGGGAACTCCGGACTTTTTCTGGAGCACAATCATCTCTGCAACATGTAATTTGAGTAAATAATAACATTTGTAAAAAGGTTATTACTTAGTCAAAGTTCCACTACCAAAGCTTTACTAAATTTTTATATAAAAGCATTGGTTCATTAGCAATTTAATTTTTTGCAATAGTTTTACCTAACATGCACTCTTATTTACTGACTGCGAGAAAAATGGTTCTTCTGGCAGATTAAGATTCCATAAGTAATAAGAGCTAATATTTAATATAAGATAACACAGATAAGATTCATGAAGAAAAAAAATCACTTTCAAAATTAAAATATTCCAACATACTTATATAACTTGTATCCTTCTTTAGGAGACTTTATATTATTCGCAATAAGTACAGCAACTACCAAACCATAAATGGCAATGATACCCGCCATTACTACAGGAATTATAGATTTCATGATCAACTCTGGCCTCATGATAGACATGGCTGCAATACCTGTTCCTGACTTTGCAGTTCCATATGCAGCTCCTAGGGCTAATAGAAAAGAATACAATATTATTTTCAATATTAAATTTTAATTTAACAAAATACTCATGTTTTTTTTTTTTTTAATTTTATTTATAAAGTAATGCAACATTTTCAAAAACTATTTCACTTAATATGCATACATACTAAAAATTTTGATCAAGCTAAAGTGTCTTACAATAGAAATGAAATTCACAACATGTGAAGGCAAAAAAAGAAAGAAAAAATCACAATGTTTTTTTTTTCCTCTTCCATTTAATAGTTATAAATTTCAAGTAATGCTAGAATCCATATTTTATAATAAGACATTAGATACCTCTTCATATTAGCTGTATCTTTTTAAACAAATATTCTTGAAGAATTTTAAAATCATAGCATAGGTATATTTCAAGAGTAACTTAGAACTATTACTTTCTTTAATATAAAAAAAAAGAATTAGAAATCTAAATAGCAACTAAAAATAAATTTGAATTTCTTCTAAAAAGAACAAATAGTAACTATAATTAGTTTTTGACTAAATATTCATAACATTCATACATCTATAATTAATGTCTGAATAATCTAATCGAAACAGATTTTTATAATTTAGATTTTTAGTAAAATAATTATCTATTCAGTTTAATATTGATTAAATTGCAAGCAAATTGTATAACTCTTCCATCTTCCCTAATTTTCTCACCCTTGTATTTCACAATTGAAATCGATGCATTTCTTATCAAAAACCAACTTAGAGCCAACCCTGATTCAAATGATTCTCCCTCTTTTTTTAAAAAAAAAAAACAATGAACAAATAATTTAAAAATAGTTACTTTCTTAAATTTTAAACTTGATGAGATTAAAAATATAGCACTCAGAAAAACATTAAGCATCTTTTTTTATAAAAAATTAAGAACCTTAAAAGATTATAATAATTGTTTATAATATATACATATACCCCAGTGACAGTTTCAATTATTTATCTTTCTTAAAAAAAATAAAAACCCAGAATGGGCTTTCTGGGTTTGGCCCACTTGAAGAAACTCACTGCTTTCAATGGTGGACTTTTTTCAAAATTTATTGAACTAGATTAATAGGTTTCGCTTCAAAAGCAAAATTATTGTCCTTAGAACAAGACTTTCAAATAATGTATTCAACATGTTAAGGGTATACTAAAATGTTTTTAATTATAATAGAAACATGAAGTATCAGTTCCTTAAAAAACATTGGGGCTCCTAAAACCTTACAAATATTTTTAAATTTATATGAAATTATAATTATTGTTCTTATTAATAAAATTTTCATTACAAGTACTGAACTTTTAGTATTATACAGATTTTGCATTTTTTAAATATCTAGACTGATTATAGTGATTTAAATCAACCTACTTCATTATGAAAAAGTATCAGTTTTTATGAAATGAAATTACAGTTATGTAGCTTGAAAATGTTCATGAACTCTAAGATATAATTAATAAATTTAGTTCATACATTGTTATAGAACATAAAAAAGTTGATTTTATATAATTTAACTCTTAACGGAACCAATGCCACACAAATGACTGCAAAAATTAAGTTTATTTTTGTCATATTTACCCTTAACTTAATTATAGAAATAAATTAAGATTAAATTTAATTATAATTTTTTTTAAAAAAATAATCATAATGGTGGGCAGTAACCTTGAAATATTTTCAGATTGTTACGGGTTAATGACATGTCATTGACATCTATAAAACTAATTCATATTCCACTTTTAATAATTTTATTGAAATTGAATTAGGAATTAGAATTTTTTCCCCAGTTTGTAAAATTAAGTACACAATTTAAAATTCACAATTTTTTCCATACACTTAAAAATAAAAAGACTAATAAAAAAAAATTGGGAGAATTATAAATTTGGCTGCTAGAAATCCATCACATATTCAGTTGTGGGCCAATCTTGCTAAATGCCAACATATTCCTTCTTCTATTAATAAAATGCTTCATTTATAAGGTTATATATTAAAAATATTAATACTATAAAGTTGAATTAGAGTTATGCTTGAGTTTTCTTAACTGTATCATGTGAAATTAAGTCCTATTCCATATAAATACAGGTTCCTACTAACATCGAAGCATCTTAAATCATTCCATTTTTATTTTATTAGGTTTAGTTTAATATTTTTTAAATTCATTGCAATAAAAATCTTGATGAGATAAAAATACAATTATGCTTGAGAAGAGAAGATTCATAATTTTTTAGAATCAAGATGTTTCATAGATTAGTTCTCAGTATAACATAAATAAAATGGTCTAAAACAATTTTTCAAAGTTGTCAGCACATTCTTATGGTCAAAAAATTGGTAAGGTTTCTTAATTAACATATATTTATTTTTTCATTATTTAATGCAGGTTGGCAAGGTTTAGGACAGCATGGATTAATCCATGGTTTAAACCACCCTGGCCAAAACCCTTAAACACAAATTATGTCACAATTTTATCCGAACAATATTTAAAAGGTAAAAAAAAAAAGTCAAACATTGAAACTAATAATTTATTGATAATTAAATCTACTAGAGAATATTTAATTTCTTATTGATATTGTAATCAAGTAGTTGCAATATTGCAATCACTAATTAAGTTCAATTGGTTCTCTTAAGATTCGATATCACCGAAAAAAATTAGCTGCTGAATTCACACCTAAGCAGGGTTGGGTTTTTGACGTCAAAAAGTGGTTTTTGTCATGACAAGGGCATAATACTGGTTTAAACCGTCAAAAACCTGTCAAAAATGTCAAAAACTGAAGTTTGCCAAGAAAATATATAAACTTCAAAACTACCAACAGTTGCCATGCATTATATTGAAATTTAATTATACTATAGGTAATCAGCAGGTTTTAAAATATTTTTTAATTAAAATTAAGGTAAAATAACAGATTTAAAATCTAAGAAATTTATATTCAAATGCATGTGCAGAAAAATCTTGCAAAAAAATTTTCTAAATATTTATATTTTGAAAAAAAAAATTTTTTTTTTGATACTTAAGAAAACTAAAAGCTTACTACTATGCATTTTTGACATATAAGGAACATATAACTAATATTTATAAGGAACTTACAAGTTATGTTGTATAAATACAAACTTGATACAAGTGTATAAAAAAAATTTAATGTTATACCGAATATCTTTATTATCCAGTATGTTAGTTTGAATTTAAAAGTAGTTATATTTGTGAATAATGATAAATATAATTCATATTGTTTATTATATTTATTTATAATTATTACACTTATCATTTTAAAACAATTTTTATCTCTTAATTTTTTTTTCTCCACTTGTATTAAGAATACAAATAATGCATATCTTGAAAGCAAGAAGTAATTATTCAACAGCTGAATATTTAGATATTCAACAAAACTATATAGTATTCAGCAAAATGAAATTCACAAGTATTTGGATAAACTAAATTTTCAGCATAGTAAATGAATAGGCTGAATATACTGTAAATCGACACTAACTACTCTGTGTATTTAACAGAAAGCACTTAAATTTGTATTGTCTTATGTTAAAAAGATTATTAAGAAGATTTAAAAGAATATTAAAAAGATTTTTCTTTAAAAGATGTCTAATGTACAAAACTGCTAATGTTTATCTTTAAAAATGTCTAATTTTTAGTATAATCTATACTATACACTAAATTTGGTTATAAATAAATTTCTTAATAATATCACTGCAGATTTTCAATAACACATGAAAATGAATACATAATATTACAAAAGATGTGAGCTTTCAAAAGTACAAGATTTTGGTTACTATTCAAAATATAAGTGTTTCTTCAAAATTTTAAATTTATTTTTTCTAGAACATATTTAGAAACACTATCCTTTATAAAAAATATATAAATTTTATGTATTAATTAAATTTCACATATGAATATAGGTTTTTGACATTTTCGACAGTGAGGTTTTTGACGTGACGGTTTAAACCATGGTTTAAACCGTCAAAAACTGTCACATGTCAAAAACCTGCCAACCCTGCACCTAAGGTTATAAGTTTTGAGTGAATTACTTCAAAATTTGAAAACATAATTGATGCTGCGCCTGCTGGGCATGAGAGTAGAATTTAAAAATGTTTTTAGAATATTCCTCTAATGACATTGATTTCTCAATAGCCGTTCAACATGGTACTGGTTTAATGGTTTTCCCAGCTTCTGTGAATTAAGTTTGCAGAAATTGTGTTGCTTCAGCTTAACAGGCAATCAAAAGAGAAATGCACTTAGGAATTTTGTCGTTAAATACGGCCGAGCACTTTCTTTTTGCATAATAGAAAAACCTTTATATTTAGAGTTTAAAGACTAAGTAATGAAATGCTTGCCTTGTTTAGGTTTATTTATCTATAGTACTATTCAAGAATACTTTTATTCTTACATGTTCAATTCTTTTGGCATAGTGGTGATACATCACCAGTGCCAGTAACTGAAAATGACATAATCCTTATGCCCGCCATTCAAAACTGTTCAAGAAATTTTTTAGTTACATTGTATTTCCAGTTTAAACTAATATATTTATATTCAAAAAGTAATAGTTTTGTTTTTTCTTAAACAGACGTATTTTTTATTATCCTGTGATGCAGAAATTATAAGATTTTTTTTTTAAATATTGCGAAAAATAAAAGGCTTATTTTTAGACAGGAAGCAAAATGAAGACATGTTTGTTTTATAAAAAAAAATTATTTTAATTTAATTTATTATTTTTTTTATAAAAGAGTTCATTATTTTTAATATTGCATTATTTATCCTTATGCAAAAACATAATTTATTGGTATTAAAAGCATATTTATTGATATTTAAAGGACAAGGTATTCACCTTTAATGTTCAATGAATTGTGGAGCTTTAAAAGTTATAAATCTCTTTTTCCTATATCATATTTTTTTCATTTTTTCTTCTTCTTATAAACGTCGTTAAACAGCCCACCCAATCTTTTGGGTTTACAACTACTAGTGCTCAACTCCGTAGCCTTACAATTTTGAGCCCAATTCAGAAGACAAGGGGAACTCCTGGTTCAAATATTGGGAGAAATTTGCCCTCGTGAAGGACTTTTTGATGGAACTAACCCGCATTTGCGTTACATGCAGAGAAAATCTCAAGGTTAGCCTGACGGCAAGGGGACTCTAACCCCTGAAGATTTTTAACCTCAGCACTGTGAGCCAGGTGCGGAATCCGTATCGTCCAGCCATCGCTGCGATTTGAGCCCGGTTCACCTCATTGAAAGGCGAGCACTCTATCCCAGAGACATCACGGCTTATTATTTACCATTAATAAGTTAAAGCAAACAAATTGTATAAAAAGTATGAAATATTTATTCATCATCATAGTAGGCCAGACAATCAATGCCTTCTCTGAAGATTTCTCCATAACAACTTCAGATTTATCTTTGATCTCCAAATATTTTCATTAATTGCAAAAAATCAGTCGAAGCAGCCCATCTCAACTACTGCCTACCCCGCTTTCTTGTTCCAGTAGATCTAAGAGAAGTAATATCTTTTTTATTGCACTGTCATCACTCATTCGAATCACGTGGGCCATCCAATTCATTAGATTTATTTTTATGTATTTAACAATATCGGGTCCTTTATAAATCTTGAACAGTTGAAAGTTAAATCTTTTTCTCCAGTTATTGTAATCTTAGTAAAGCTTTCACTCAAATATTGCAATACAACTTTCCTCTAGTTTAGCTATTTTCCAAGCTTCAGAAGCATATGTCAAGACCGGCCTGTCACGAGTTTTGTAAATTAAGAACTTTCTTTTTTATAGAAAAAAAACATGGATTTAATAAATCTTCTCAGCCATCAAATATTTATTAATATATGTAATTATGTGTACAATGGTTACTCATAAACTTTTTTTATCTTTTATAAAGGTTTTGGACACTTTAAGATTGTTTTAGTCAGTTTAGGACAGTAAAACCAAAGTGTCCTTTCCAAAACCAGTTTAGGACTTCCAAAACCCCAACCTTGAACATTTGCTTGTAGCATTTCTTTACCTTTCTTTCTTAATATTATTCACTACTATTAACCATTTTGAAATTATTACTAAAAGGCAAATGAGTTATATTTGCTTTTATGATGAGCTTTATATAAAATTATTTTCTACCAAAACTGTTATTAGGAATTAACTTTACATAATATTACTAAACAATTTGGCAAAAAAACAATAACTAACTTCAAATTAACCAAAAGTTGAATAGAAATTTTAAGATTTAAGAAGGAAAAAAAAAACAGTACGTTACGTTGCAATGTCAATCAAACAAATAAATTAATAAAATCTAAGTTTGAATTGTATTCTAATGAACTATAATGTAAAAATTTGGGGATCTTTTAATTGAGCAGTTTTTATTTTATATATAACAATCTGCCCTAAAGAAATGAAAATAATAGCATAAAAATCCTCCAAAAAATGGTTACATTATAACAAAACAATAATTTCAACATTACAAAAATCAATGTAAAAAGATAATATAGGTACTGTTCAGGAGTTTTGATTTATGGTTTCATCCTTTAGTCAGCATTTTGGGGATATTTCCGTATCATGATCTGTCGCGCTAAGTACCAAGGTGCCAAATAAATTTCAAACTTGCAATTTTTTTTTTTACAAAATACATGTAGATGTTTGGCCAGGGTTAGTTGTGAGTTAAACTTTTCCAGTTGGTCCCTTTCTGTGATGCTTTTTAAGTTTCTCGCGGACCGCTGCCCGGAAATTGCCAAGACTTGACAATTATTCGACCACATATACGGAAATCTCCAAATTATTGAGATATACTTATACTATGAAGTGAAAAATAATAAATTTAAGAACTGTTAAATTTCTGACATTAAAAAGATTAACTAGTACCAATCTTACTATATATTCAAATTATTAATTGCAACAGTTTTTAGAAGTGAACTCATCGGTATTGATAATGCCCTGGATTCTCTTCTAACACTACAGGATCACAATATCTGGATACTCTCTGACAGTCTCAGTTCCATACAGTACTTATCGCATTGGAGGAAGGTGAGAGACAAAACAGGAACTTCAATCCTGCAAAAACTTAAAATCTTCTCACGATTGCACGAAGTCCACCTCCAGTGGATCCCTTCTCACGTTGAGGTTTCGGGCAATGATATCGTCATATATGACATTTGATGAGTCCAAATTCACTCACCTTCATGGAACTTGGCATAGAAAAAGAAAAAAGAAGACCATGTTTCCTGGCTCATACCCCCAAAAATCACTGGTACCCGAGCACCCGTCCAGGAGGTTCACTCAACATTTAGTGCAACCGCAAGGATCAGACGGCGCTTACCAGCGGCCACCTTAAGTCTCTTTCTTTCGAGGGTAGTGTTAAAATCTTCTCAAACTGCCCCGGGACATGCAGGCTTCTTCCCAACATATCCTGGACTGGACAATAGGGACATTCTAGAACACCCACTTTCGGTGGCAGACTTCCTCCGGGTCATGAATTTCATGGACATTGTTTAGCCCTGCTAATTTTGGGGATTAGGAAGAAGAAATTAATTGCAAAAATGGAAATTAACACCTTTAACTTTTTGAATATAAGTAAATGTGATAATAATGAATACTTTTAACAATTTAGTATTCTTTTAAAATGTAATTCCCTTAGTTAAACAAAAAAAAGAAAGGAAAAAAAACACAAAAACAGATTTAACAAAATTACATTTTCTCTATTGGTAGACTGGCATGAAACTAAAAAGGGATAGGGGAGGTGCAAATTTCTCTGGACACGTATAAAAAAGCCAAAATAATCGAAAGTAGTAGACAAAATGCAGTTTAAATGCAATGCAATATTGGCAAAAATGCAACTTATTATTTCTACATTCATTTAACACTGGTTAAAATTATAGCTATAATTTTTTGTTAAAAAATTTATATCTATCTTAACTTAAAATCCAAAAGTTTAGTTATTTTATTTTAGCATCGAAATCATTATTTAAGTAGATATTTCAACCTCGATTCGATTAGTATTTTTAAGAACTAAGTATAAATTAGCTCTACATATGTACATCTTTTCAAGCATGATAAAATGTCAATAACAACAAATAATTGAAACATTTCTTAAAAACTACTGTAAAATCTTAATAATTACAGCTTGGAAATCAAAATAGATCATTAATAATGTAAAAACATACCACTAAATATCATAGCTGCTGCACTGCCCATAACTCCAAAGAAAGGTCCGTAAATTGGTGCGTCGTCTGCCATTTTTAATTTTAATTAGATTAATGAATTAATTTAAATATAATATATAATACGATGAGCGAAATGAATTAACTAGATTGCAAATGAAACGCTGTTCAAGAAAGCACTAAAGTCATATGATGGTTATATCAGATGGGGGCGTAGGCCAATCTAATGATTTTCACGAGAACTAATTATCTTGAGATATTTAATAAATAGTAAAAGAGAATCCTAGAGTACGCAAATAAATTTTTAAATTGAATTAATAATGAAATTTTAAATGATATTGATGAGAATAGTTCGACGAAATTCACAATTTCATCTGACTAGTGAGTTCACAGAATGAATGATTCAGATAGAAAGGAACGATTCGCAAAACCCAATGATTAACTCTTGCAGATTAGGATGAGGCTAGAAAACAGATCTCTAATAATTATAATTAATAAGCCTTAATAAATAAGGCATGCTCTTAAATAATAAAATCTGATGGATAAATTAGTACGCATTATTATATAAAATTTATTTATTCATTATTATCGTTTTCTCCGAAACGAGCAACAGGGGGTCACATGACTTCTTCGAGGTAGAATGGGTCACTTTTCCATACTTCGATAATGGGTTGGGAGAGTTCATTTCAGAACTTTTAGTAATGGGATTAGAATTCAATATAGTTCAAATAAAAAATTTTAAACTTCAGATAAAGAGAAAGAAGAATACTAAATTTAATAGTTGTGTAGAATTATTATAAATGCTGCATGCTAAAGATCTAGTAGTTTCAAATTTCAGTTCCTAATAAGAAAATTACTTTTACTCTGTGGTTGGAGGTAAGTAGCGAAACTAAAGTAGTAGTTACTTTCTTTCGTAGGTTGTAGTGTAGAGTGCAACATTTAAAAAAAAAAAAGAAAGAAAGAATTAGTGTAGTGGGAAGTGCAATAAAAAAACAGCAGTTTTTAGCTACTTCTGGAAGCTACTTTTAACCTTTAATCAAAGAAACAAGGTTCAAACGCAATTAATTTTTTGAATTTGTTTGGCCTAAATCATCGCGGCACAGTCAATGGACTAGATGACAATATTCAGTAATGGTGCTGCTATTCGTAATGGCCGAACGTTAAAAAGAATAATGTATTAGTACTGACATTTAAACTAGTCTTTACGAATAGTTGCTAATTTATCCCTTTAGCTATACCTTTATATGCGAATGTATACTAATTAAACATTGTTATTTCAATGGAAGAGAACATATTTTCTCTGTAATTTTCGATGCACATTATTTCGTACCGAAAATTAGAAAAAGCATTAGAAAGTAATTTGCAAATATTGATAATTTTCCAGCATTTTTAAAATTAATTGGTTGATTGAAAATGAAAGATTAATAATTGAGAATGGCACAAAAAGTCGAAGGTTAATTGAACAAAATTGTAAATAATGCTTTAAACTAACAAACTGGCTCTTGTAAACATGAATAAATATTTTTTAATAATTCCTCACATATAATTCTTCAATAAAAGTGAACTTCTATTACCATAGAACTCACCAAAGAAAAACCAAAGTTTTTTTATTCCAAAAGCTTTTTGAACGTGGGTGTAAATTAAGTTCTCCAGCAAAGGTGGTCTCATAAAAGTAGTGAAGTATTGACAATTCGCGATCGCAACGCTCGAGTACGCCGTCTAGCGGGAGCCTGTAAATATCGGACATTAATTTATCACGTTTTCATTTAGTTCTATCAAAGTCATTGACTGAATCAGACGCCATTTTTTAGCAGCAAATAGGAAACAAAATTTCCCTAAGGAAAAGGCCGAAGAACTTGAAAAAAATCTCCAGAATATTAGNGAGTTGTAGTTGTTGTTAACTACGTTCGTAATAAAGTAGTTGTAATTAACTTCAAAAAATGTAGTTTTTCCGACAGTTGCTTTTAATTATATTTAACGAAAAACTGTTCATTTTCAGTCCATTACATTTTAACTCGGATACTATTCAACTCTCACTATGGTTGGAAAGAAGGGGCCAAAAAATCAAAAGCTGGAGCCAGTTTCACTATATCACTTTCGGTTTTTAACTACGAGCGAACTTTGTTTAACCCAAGTACGTACTCGTCTTATTACGTGTGTGTAAGAAAACAAGATGAGACTGACATTCTACGTAGTTCGAAACATAATCGAAGTACAATGGTACTGTTTCCAGTTTGAAGAGCAGGTCAAAGCCCGAGCCGAACGATACTTCATATTTTTCAGACAGTAAAAGTTCCAGACAGAAAGAAATTGGTGATCGAAATCGACTACGGGTGGTGTAGAACAGAGCTCTCTACCTAATCGCAACACTTTGCATACTTTCACTATTTGCGTGTGGAGAGTCATAGAAAAAGGAAAGCATGTTAGTTTCTTCTGTCTTGATTTTCAAATAGATTAAGAACTCTTAAGTTGGAAAACTGTATGGAGCTGAAATCTACGTTGAAAATAGTTCTATAAGAAAACGTCGTGTAAATTTTAAAAAAATGTTTTTGACTATTAAATACGAAAAATATTAAGAAAGGGGAAAATGTCGTAGTACATTCCTATACAACAAAGAAGAGAAGGAGAGGGTCAAGACATGGAACCGGTCTTCTCCCCAGATAGTGTATTCAAGTGTTGTGTTAGCGAATACTTTACAATTTATTACACCTGTGAATTTACCCCATTCCTGCATGTAATGAGTCTTGTATAAAAACAACGTATATTTGTGCAATATACCTTTCATCATCACACATACAATAGGTGAGAAATGTAAGGTCATGGGACCCCACATAATTTATACATATTAAAGGGTCCCTACATAACACCAACATTTGTTTTGTTATATCTTTTCATTTAATTCCAAGAAACATTGTTTACAAATAGGCCCAATTTATCATCCACTGAGGCTTTATTATAGACTCTTATATAATTAAAAAGTAGCTTTTAAAGGTCTTGAAGCGTCTTTTATAAAAAAAAAAAAAAGCTTAAAATTGTTTACAGTTATCAGAAGCTGAAAAACTTCATAAGTACCAAAGAAATGATAAAAATACATATACATCAAATTAAAATTTTAAATTGAATAATTATGCATATTTTTTTGTGAAATGGACAACATCTGGGGATCCTAATTAGTATAGTTTTATCCTTTAGGATTCATAATATATTTATTTGAGAACTTATAAAAAAGCATACCTAACTGACTGTGAACGAAATTGGTTAACTGAATGTAAGAAAAAACAAGCTTCCTAAATCCAAAAAAAATTTAGAAAATTTCTGGTCAATCCCTTCGCTTAAACCATGCTTACTAAGCTATGTATGAACAGACTTAATATTTTAGCCTTCCTAACATTTCTACTCCTAAGCAATCTGCCACCTCGCGACTTCGTTTTCCAATTCCTTATTTTCAACCTCTTAAGGGCTTTAAGCTCTTTCAACCTCATCTACCCACCTCTTGTTCGATCTTCTCTGTTTTCATTGACCAAATCAACATAAAATGATTAACAATACCTTATTAGAAATTTCTATGTTATCCCATTTGCAATTCACTTTATTACCCATTACATGTACCCATTACCCATGTACCCATTACAATTATATCCACCCCACCTTATCTTCAATTACCACTGATAATGGTGTATGATATACACCGAAGATCCATTACATTATGACCACCTTGCTAATAACATGTAGGACCACCTTTAGCCCTCAAAACTGCTAGCAACCGCCGTGGCATTGATTCTAGAAGGTGCTGATAGGTAGTCTGAGGTATTTGGTGCCAAGCGCTCACCAACTGGTCCTGCAATTCCCTCATATTGCGAGGGGGTAGCGTGGCAGCACGAATTTGGTTTTCCAAGTAGGACCACAAATGCTCTATTGGATTAAGGTCAGGTGAATTTGGGGGCCAAGACATGACTTGAAAGTCACTGGAATGTTCCTCGAACCAATCCATGACGATTCGACCCTTATGACATGGTGCATTATCCTGTTGGTAAACACCATCCCCCGCAGGAAAAACTGTTGCCATGAATGGGTGAACCTGGTCTGCAACTATGTTCAAGTAGCTTACAGACGTCAGGGATTGTTCTATGAGGATTATGGGTCCTAATGTGCCCCATGAAAACATTGTTCCTGGGCGAGAAACCATGAAAACCTGGGCGAGCCCATTATTATAGATGGAGGGTGGTCATAATGTAATGGCTCTTCGGTGTATAATTTGTACTTTTCTTGGGTTTCGTTCTATTTATGAGACAGGAATTCAAATTATAAATTATGTCCCTACTTAGCTTTAATTTTGCTATAACTAGATAATTCTATTAGACAATAATTTTTTTTTTTCATTAGGAAATTAAAAGTTGTAAAGATAACTGGTATGTGTTCTTTATTCTTTAAAATAATGCCTTTATGAATTGGTCTACAGGAATTGAGGAAGATTTGCTTCCGTTAATTTATTTGCGAGTTGTTTTTCTCTGTAAATATTTTCGTTATTTCACCCCCACTACAGATTATAATTCATGATTTTCAATTCTTTTCTTAAATTTGCTTTATCACTATTTTATTCAAAAATAAAATATGATATCATTTTAAATAATTTTCAGGTAGGATAATTTTCAGAGGGGGGGGGGTAGAGGCTACCCCCCTCTGAAAATTATCCTAAGCATCTACGCTATAGTTCAACTCAACAGTAATTGACAATTATAGCAAGAACCCTTTCAGTAATACAGTGAAAACACAACAAAAATACTTCTTTTTTCTTAAGTATTATTACTGACACAAATTAAATTTTCTGGGGGAGTGCATGTGAGTTATGAATAAGAGATGAATTTCTTTTGTGTTTTGAACTTTGACAATGCTGTAAAATCCGGTTCTTGATGGCTATTCCTCAATATCTATTTTCTTTTTTACTATCATTTTACTTTTGCATTTTAATATTGCAAATGTCAGTAGTTCAATAGTAATATCGACAGTTTAACTAAAATTATTTTGAAATCATTTCAGTAAATTTTTAGTTTATTTGTACACAGTTATCGCTATTATTTATTTATATACAGACGCTGGCTGAACTCGTCTGATAAAAGTCGCTCTCAACATTGTCCAGTGATCTAAGGGGCGCTATTCCAATTCCTTTTATTTTGCTACTTTATTTGTTTTCTTTTATTTTATTTGGAAAAAAAAGAAGCTTGTACTACCTCTACACTTTATTTTTATAATTACAAACATTTTACTAACACCTATAGCTACAAAAGTGCCTTATGCTTGAAGTCACGGTATCTCACTGGTAAAGGCAGTAAATTTGAATTTTGAAAAACCAGGTTTTTATCCCGTGTTCCCTTCCGGGGAAGTTCCCTTTTCGATCATCAGATCAATGGGTAAAAGCTTGATAGGGAGAAATTTGTC